GTTGCGCCTGGGACCTCAAAACCCTGACCCTGTTCCAGATTAAAATCGCTGAAACTATATCCTGTTCCAGAGTAAAATCGCTGAAAAAGATGCCCTGTTACAGAGAAAATCCAGCACTAGCTTTGAGTGTAGACCGAATTTTTACCCCGTAAATTTTACCCAGCATCAATAATTCCGGAATCAAACCCTGACCCTGTTCCAGAGAAAATTTGTTCAAATCTATACCCTGTTCCAGAGTAAAATCGCTAAAATCGATACCCAGTTCCAGAGTAAAATCGCTGAAAACGAAACCCTGGTTGGCGGCACGTCCCCGTATAGCGAATATAGGGGGGTATTGCCCCCCCCCCCTAGCTTGTATCGAGAAACTTACTACTTCTTCAGTAGAAAGTTAAAAGTTTCTTCATTCCTGTTAATCCTGTTTGACCGGTTATTGTGATAATAAGCAAAATGGTAAAACTCAAGCATTTTTTCGTTTCATTCCTTTTATTAAAAAGTCTGTTCCTATACATATATCTTTGTGCAGTATGTATATGATAGCATGCATTACAACAAACAATAGACGCAAAAATGTATCTGTTCACCGTCTTTCTGTTGTTGTTGTTCTTTTTCTTTTCTACAAAAAGCATTTACATTAACATATCGGAGATATTAGAYGGCAGGTATCTTAACAGTTTTAAGAGAAGATCAGCATAAATATGTATTCCTTGAAAACTGTCCTGACCAACAAAACGTCTCTGGTTTGACTTAATAATCCCAACGCTTGATGCAATGTTTGTCATTACATTTGAAAAATCATACCATAGTCGCAATGGTGCCATTACTTGGTGAGCTACTTCATGTGAGTTCCAGTGAGCGTAACATGATACATATACACCATTCACAAGCATACTGCCATGCCGTGTCATAGGAGCATATATTCCATTACCGTACATCGTCTTGACCTTAGTTACCTTAGATRTCTTTTTACCAGATATTACAAAGTCTCCAGGTTTGATTGCATCGGCGGATATCATCCTCATGAAATGAATCGTTTTCCCAGAGTAYATTAAATGCTTGTCAGACAGTACTATCCTAATACCGTCTTCAGCTTCTATGACACGATATAAACCTCTTGATGCATCTCTGTGAAGAAATGCTATGACTTCAGAGGGAATAATTTGGTTCGTCAGTGGATCCAACGTTTGGATTTCGTCGCCAATGTTCAAATTATCCATGGAAATGGCGTCACCTGTTTTGAGACTTACTGTTGCGCTAGCGGGAAAACACATAGCTCGTGGAGGACCGCAGTCTTTGCARGGTTTGGCATCTGGAGAGTAACATCATTATTGTTAAAATAGCATATAAGACGTTTTACCTTTAAGCCARTACAAGCTGTGCATTAGTCCACTATCTGATACTTCAAGATGTAGCCGGACCTGTAGGTTTATGACTGACATAAAAATGACCTTAAACTGGTATGATATTCAGATACTCGAGACAGGTTCGGCACTGAATTCTCACGAAGTAAATTAAGCACCGAACTCATACCCAGATGTTACTTCTTTTGSCTACGCTGGAAGAGGCTGATGGGAAGGAGAGAGAAAGCCACGTCTCGATCCTTCACACCTCCCGCGAGAAGCAACTGTGCATGAGTCTGATTTAGCGCAATGGCTGTCAGAGGTTTGTCAAATAGATCTGACATCAACCTTAGAAAACTGTCAGTGTTATATGCGGACGGTCTAATWGTGTCCAGGATACCCATTATCACATCATCATCATCACTGTCATCATAATCATGCACATTTATATTTATCAAAATTTCAAGACTGCAAAAACTTACAAGCACCAATRAATTTATAGACAAAGTTCGATCCAGATCGTCCCACTCCATGATGACAGTCGATGGATGCACCATCTCGCTTGTAAGTCTTCTCTGCGTTATCCCCACTCCAACATTCTCCCTCTGACTGGATTCCAAAGAAACCAAAGCCTAATTTAAAGGCATTTTGTGCACAGGCCAGTATAGTATTGTTGAATTCATGCCTCTTTGATGCATTTTTGCTATCATCTCGAAGATCGACTATTAGTTTAGGGAGAGGACGCGGTTCCATGTAGGAGTCTCGGTAACAGCCTACCGCTACAAAGTCTGAAATGAACCAAGTAAAACTCAAATATTGCAGAAAAACTCCATGCATAGAGTCAAACAACAAAAACCGATGTCTTTACGACAATCGAAAAGGTCTGGCTGATAGGGTGTATCATTATTTACTGATAAAACTTCTTCGTTTCTTTATCTCAAGCCTTCTAGTTTGAAGTGGAGCATCTTTGGAGGTAAATATACATTAAAATGTTCAAATATAATTTTTGTTCAAGGGAAATATTTGATGGTGTTAAATGGCACGTGCTCTCCTATTTTTCTTATCCGTTCTCACTTACTTTTGTTTAAGCTAGTCGTTGCCAGTAAACAAATGTGGTAGAGTTGTAAAATCGAAATGAAAAACAGAAGTTGATGCGTCACAACTTACCAGCCATGGTGATGACTTTTGATTCGTTCGTTGTTGTGCTCGCTTCTGCAACAGGAGTASCAAGAGCTGGAGTTGCTGCTATCACAGTTGGGGCTGGTACGGCTGTTTGTTCATTGGCAGGTATTCCAGGTGTAGATGACTGTCCCGATGTACCCGGGAGTCCTGGTGTAATTGGCTKTTCTACTTGACCCGGCTGAACAGTTTGGGCAGATGGTGAAGTTGGTTTTGTTGGTTGTATTGGTGTAKCTGGTTGACTTATCGTAGATGAYTCGTTGGCTGGTTCGGGTAGATTCTGGATTACGTCCACTGAAAGTCATGAATAATTTTAAAAATATTTGATTTTGTCGTCACAGYATGGTGGAACGACAGTGACAACCKTAAGCGCKCATATGCATTGAATAACTGTTACCGCGCAACAGCTCGCAATAACCATAGCAACTAATGATGCTATAATGGAAATAAAAACAATACAGTAACACCTGACATTCATTGTCATGACAACTCCTGTATTACCATAGCAACAAAAGCTGTTCTAAAACAAAGATAGCTACATAATTGTTTATAAAGCAATATRKTAAAGAGGGTCACCTCTATTAATGGCGCCTTTGGAACCAGGTCCAATGTTGTACCAATCATCCGGGTTTGCCAAAACTGTAAGTCGTGAAAAGAAAGTATATATATACTTTTATTATATAGCTCAGATGTAACACACGATTTCATTGGCTAAAAAGCAGGCCATACTTTCCCGAACGGATCAGATGAAACTAGAAAAAACGTTTTTTTGTCTTAAAAAGGCTTGATAATAAATATCTTATTAACCTCGCTTGCTCGAGCCGTACGGGAAGTTATGGAACTTCTTTTTATGTCAGTGGAAAAAAAGTCGGTCCATAACTTCCCGTACGGCCCTCGCCGCGCTCGGTTAATAAGATATTAATATCAGTAATAACACTAAAGTGTTGTTACATATGGTAAGATTTGCAGTGTCATTCAGATGTTAATTATGTAAGTCTGAATAAGGGAGCACAACTTCGTGGTTGGTTATACGTCTATAAAAGAAAAGTCGAGAAATAAGGACTCCAGCTGTTGARATACCCCCATAGTAAATCTACTTGTCCTCTACTTGTTTTACTCAGTGGCTAGTACTGATCTGAGCATACCTTTTAATGAATTCATCGATAGAACCATGACAATTGCAGAAATCAAATAGATTGGACTATATTTTCCTGCCATTTTGACCTGATGATCAAAAATGATACTACATATTGATGATATTTATACTTCCATATTACATTCAACGTGCTAAAGTAATCTGCAGTGATCATATTCGACTGTTTCRTGTCTCATGGTTGCCATTTTATAGTTACTCTCAATGAACGCCTTATATGACACTASTTGAATGGTCAAGCTGTGAAATACATAACACCTCCAGAAGAATGTAGTTGTGTCCAATGACCTGTTAACAGACACTGATTACAAGTGATGTCATATCGGGTTCCAAAGAAGCAATAAGAAAAATTGGCATGACAACGTTCTGGAGATTTATTCTTATAGAAAACAAAAGTTTTTTCTTTATTGACTAATAATACCAAAATATCTACAAAATAGTCTACAAGCTATAAATAGATGGTAAACKATTGATTGWTTGTCATATATAAACACCCCCCTTYTAACTTAAACTGTTTGTTTTAACGCTATAATTCTTGACTTGATTTAAAACAGTTTGAATGTTGATATCATGAACAATACAATTTGCAATGCAACGGAACAGGCAAGTTATGTAAGCTATACGATCTTTTACAAGAAGACAAGCAATGATTTCTTCAACCTTCAACGGAGCTTCCTGACGACGTCTCTATACGTATATATACACAAGCTAAGTCTTTGTGTTTTACACTTAACAATGGCTTGTACTTACGGTGATTTTTAGTCTGTTGGGACAATATTGACATAAGACAGTATATAACAGAATAGTAAGGACTGCAAGCAAGATGGTTYCCTGCTGAGGACCAACAGTTCCTGAGTTAATTGACAAACGACATATTTGCACAATAAGAACATTAAAATCAAAGCCGTGAATTAGCAGTTGCTTGGATCATTTGTCTGGGTTAATGGACACCTGTTGTACACTTCAACCAAGTCACTCAAAGTAAAAAAAAATAAGTACAAAACAAAAGAATCAATAACAGAAAATAGAGAATCAAATAGCTATAGCTAACAGGATCAGGAGTGTTACAATAATATCCAGTCCGGAACTCAATATGTGTGGGTGTCTTTCTTGTTCTTGTTCTTGCTCTTGTTCTTTTTTTTCAGTATGGACACGAAATGGTGTGATGTAAATTTAATTGAAAAGGKAGAAAGCAAAAAGTCAGAATCTTCACTTCTTGGCTAAACAAGTTTTAGAATAAAATGGAGAGGAAAAAGAATTAAGCACTGAGTCAAAAACTACAACAATCCACTGCAAACAATACCAAAAAAAAATAAAACTATAGACAAACAACACTGAAGAATACCATACAAGGAAACTAACAACAAAAGGACATAAAGTAAAAAATAATCACTCATACAACAACCCAACCAAAACAAACAAACAATACCTAAAACAAACAGAAGCAATAAYCCATGTACTGTGACAGGTGTACGGCGGGAACGGGACATTTACCACAGGGAAACCATAGAGCCAAGTTCGTATGAGTGGGAAACGTACGGTAGAAATAGGCCGTTTGCATTATGACGTAACTTACTACAATTACCAGAGAGCCTTGCGCATTTTAATTGTTATTCAGATTTTTAATCGCCTTGGAGATTAATAAAACAATTGGCACTAATTGCATACACCTTATTCCAAAATGGCTGACTAGCCCTTGATGTCTCGTTTTCATGAAATTGTTCTTTTCTTTTAAAGTCACTCAAGCTCAAAGACAAAAGAATAATTTTATGAAAACGAGACATCAAGGGCTAGTCAGCCATTTTGGAATAATGTGTATTACAAAAGAAAGCTGGCAAAGCATTCTGGTAGTTGTAGTAAATGACGCCATAATGCATATCGGTTACCGCATAGTTACCGGACCTGGCCTGCACAATTTTTGTGAACCAATGAGACACTAGAATTTGGTTACAGTACGATTACGGTTACAGTACAGTACCGTCCGTTAATGTTTCCCACTCATATAAATTCCGCTCTATCTTTTAAATGCACCCAAAATTCACGGGGAAAAAATCGCGCACTTCAGATTTTTCCAGTGAAACCACGACATCAAGCGAGTGTCTCGTTTTCAAGTGATTTCGTGCAAACTGTAAATCAATAAATCAGCAGCAACAACTAGAAAATTTAAGGAGAAATTATTGAAAGAGAAAATTATCAGAAAGATGTCATAAATCCCATATTTTTTATATTAGCTTGAAAATAGAGCGGCAGGCTACTTTTTTGTTGGTTTGTCATGAAATAWCGTCGTTATTACGTCAAACCTTATTGACCTGTTTYGGCTTTATCTTGTCGAGCTTTGATTTAACAGCTGATTGGCTGGGGGAAAAATTCGGCAAACGTCCATCATTGGACAAATGACGTCATGTTATGTTTCGTTAATTTCAATTTTYTATATTATTATTCATTGCGCTCGCCAAACATCACTGCCATGGAAAAATTTCAATCAAACGTAGATGATTTAACAAGCTCTGTTAAGGAGTCGTTACATTGTAACACAGTTTGTGATGAAAATAGTAAGAAACAAACGGTGAAGGCACGACCCAGGAGATTCCAGCGGTTAAACATGATGGCTACATCACGACAACAGTCAGGGAGAGATTTTGAGGAATTTCCACCAGCTCCTACACGAGAACAAAAAAACACTTTACAAGACGATTTCTATGCTCGTGAAATGTGTTATGGTAAGTCAAGAAATGGTAATTTTTTTATTAAAATCATAAGTAAATGCCCAGAAAATAATCTTCTCCATACAACTCTTGTCTGTCACTTTCTTTTCTTTTCTATACATTTTTCTTTTACATTTTTCACATTTTTGCCGGGCAAAAAATACACAGTCGAACCACGGACATTTGTCTCTCCTTTTTATTTTTATTTCCTTTTTAACTGAAATATAGTTGTTCCAGTCATGTTAATTTTTTATTGTAGATATTTGTTTTATTATTATTTACGAGCTGTTCAATTTTAGAAAGAAGAACCACTTCGTGGAACATACCGTGTCCAGGTTACGTTAAGTGTAGAGAATTTTTCCGTGAAATATATATATTTTTACCAGCGCCGCGATCGATTTGATAGATTTTGCGTATGATCTTTTCACATCATTTTTTTTTTGAATGTTTCTATCATTGCAGCAAACATTTTGCACTCAGATTGCATTCGCATTATCCTCAGAGAATTTATAATATGAAAGTTTTCTTTGCATATAACTAGCTCTACACTATATGTGTATTGAGCACTCTTTAATGGGATCAGCTACTTCCTCATACGATTATATTTTAAAGTATAAATATACTAGAAAGAAAAAAAATGTTTCGAAGCAGAATGGTCGAGTCGAGAATCGAACCCGATAACGTCAGTTCAACGCCGCTATTCAAGTATGATCTTGCGTGCAAAATATGTAAAACAAATATCTAGAGGAAAATAAGAATAAGTATATKTCAGTAAAAAGAAAAGAAAGAAGGAAAGAAAAAAGAATCTAACCCGCGATCCTAAGTTCGACGCTATTCGAGAACGATAGYCTGTGTAAAAATCAAAATGACGACTCGAAAATAATTGTTAAACGAATATCTACAGAAAAAAATCAAMATGACTATAACAACTTCATTTCMGTTAAAAAGAAAGAAAAAGATGAATGAGTCGAGAGTGAATGAGTCGAGAATCTACAAAAAATCAAGATAACTATAATAACTATATTATGTTTAAAAAGAAAGAAAGAAAGAAAGAAAGAAAGGGAGAAAGAAAGAGAGAAAGAGAGGGAGGGAGAAAGAGAGAAAGAAAGAAAAGTGCTCGAGACGAGATTCGAACCCGCGATCCTCTGTTTGAACCGCTGTTCGAGTATCATCTTGTAAATATCGATAAAACAAATTGCTACGAAAATAAAAATAAAAATAAAAAATAAAAATATAGTCGCTGCATTTTTATAACCGTGCCGCAGGCCTTCGGCTTGGACACGGTAAATAATAGTACTAGATAATCATTCTCTTCTATGATTGCTATTGCGATCTCCATTATTAGGACCTAGTTCTTATATTATTAACACTGTAATTGTACTCCTCTCGACCAATGAAAAGTATTATTTTGTTGAATGTACTGTACTTTGGTACTGGCAATACTTCTCGACCAATAAAAAGTATTATTTTGTTGAATGTACTGTACTTTGGTACTGGCAATACTTTGAAACATTTTTTCCTATGCACAGGAAAATCTCACGGAATCAAAGAAAACCAAGTTTTTGAGAGTTCCACAATTGCCGAATTGCCAGTAATTGTAAAAAATGTATCTAGCTACAAGAGAGCATCTCACACTACCAAGGGGAGATGCACAACCACTGTTAATAGTAGAAGTATTGATTTAAACCTGCCTTGCCCTCCTCGCTACAAAGGAAAGAAAAAGTCGGACCCCCCTAAACCTTTACCTCATGATAAGGGCGGATACGATTTGGATGGCGACGTTTTAGAAAGTGCTACGCAGAAATTGCCAGCAATTAGCTGTAATAAACTACCTAAAGCTAACAAAGTGTTTAGTGYACTGACTGCTGACAACAATCCTTTGCCTGATGACAAACCATATTTTTTGGATGRCAATGGCTTTGCAGTGTCTGCAAGACCTACGATATTACCATCYATTAGTGAAACTCAAAGCAAACCACCCAAAGCTCATAAAGAAACCATGGAGTTAAATTCGTTGACTGTTGACAACATTGATGTAAATAAATCCTACCCACCTCCCTCCAAAGGATACAGAATATGGAGTCTACAGGCCGAGAAAAAACMTTTACCGGACAACAAACCATCTAGTGCTTATCTACAGAACCATCGTCACACATTTGCAAAGAAAGATACTGTCTCTCGGGATTTTAAGGCAAGTGGTGTGTCACCTACCCACGATAAAAGTAAAGACCAACTATCGAAAAGCTACAGGTTCCCTCAAACTAAAACTCATTCCCGAAAACAATATGCCACTAGAAACAGTCGCAAGGGTCACTATAGTGTTGCTGAGCCGCTGGATAGTTTAAGTGTGGACCGCAAACCAAGGCTCCTACGACGTGCACAGACTCAAAAGAACACTTTAAGAACGTGCAGCGGTGATGCGGCCAGCAATCGCTCAGAAAACAACGACTTCGATGATGAAAAGTTTACTGTTTTTGAGTTCCTGGATTTCCAAGACGAGCATTGCTTTAATGAACCGCTAAGGCCCAATGGAGGGAAAAGCACTGGAAAAAATCGTGCACTGTAAAGGTTGTAAATTTGATGTAAATATTATGTTAGGCCAAAGAGTCCAAGATGATGTAAATTTGATGTAAATGATTTATAACCTTTAAGAGTGCGCGATTTTTTCCAGAGAAAAAACRCTCGACGTTATGCTCAAGTTGAGTTTGTTGTCCTCGCGATGATTGGCTGCTTCATTTTCAAGTAATCAGCTAGAAATGTATTCGAAGCAGCCAAAAAAAAAGCCAAAAAATTCTGAAGCACGTCAAAAAAGTGTGAAATAATTGTTAACAATCAACAACTAATARGATTTAGTTGTAAACATTAAACTACTAGTAACTAAGAATTCATAGGCATGAACAAAAAGTCAGAAAGAGAATTGTCTTTGTTTATGCCTCACTGAATTTTAAGCACTTTACTAAGCATAAAACTAACAAAGTTCAATAAATTATTGCTATTATTAGTTAGTAGAGCTACGTACTATACTCCAAGAAAATTGTGCAGATTTTATGCTGAAATGTGCAAATTAATGGAGCATCTTTGAAATTTGGCACGATGATARAGTATTGTGCCCTGAGTAAAATTTGTGTGGAGGCACGCCTAAAAATCAATACTCACAGTTTTACAGCCATGAAATTAATTTTCTTTCAAAAAATCAAAAATGGCATTGTAAAGAAAACACCATGATTAATAAGTGCATATAGCTAATATGATTAGTGACAGCGTGCAAAAAAGTTTGCCGTTAAAAGCCACGCCCTTAATATGATACTTGCAGCATTTTAACTATGGAATGCATCTTACCTAATATTGACATAAAATGAGGTATTTCATTTTGGGAAGGATTTTAAATGTTGTACAATTATAGATATTTATGTTGAAGTAGTCTTGGACGGAGACACACCTATTAGATAGTACTTTTTTTAGACAAGGTATTTCTTAGAATTTAAAAATAAAACGCCCAGTAGAGTGCAATTGCTTGTAATAAAGAAGCATATTCGTCATAAGACTATTGTGAGCAATATCCCAGGAGAAATCTTAACAGCCATGGAATTAACAAAAATATAAAAAATAGAACGTGATATTAGATTTAAAAGTAAAAGAATGGAATTAATAGGTATGGTTAGACATACTATGAAAAACAGTTTGCTGTTAACATGTGTTAAAAACCACGGTAGCCCTGATATGGTACTTGCAGAGTTTGGACTCTGGAATATCTGATAGACTGACTTGAAGATGACATATATTCTTGCTGTAAAAAGTTCAAACGCTTCACAACCTTTAATATTCATATACTGAGCAATCCAGATAACCACTTATATTATCAGTGTTATAGTAGTGGATGCCTTACCGGTGAAAGAGAAAGAAAAGGGATCCAGTATTTTCACGAGTCCTGAAATTAGCTCAATTGGGATGGAGTATGAATGATGATGATCCAGAAGTTAAAACCTACCAGCAAAGAAGAGATGAAATTACGGCGAGATTTCGATGTGAGGAACCAGAGTCATAGTGCCCCAAAAACCAAGAGAAAGAGTCCCCCATAMAATCCACGAAGGACACATCGAAATGGTCAAGATGAAAGGATTTGCACGAGGATACCTATGGTGGTATGGTGGCCCAACCTTGACAAGGACATCGAACTCAAAGTCAAAGCAAAGAACTTCCAATGATGCCAAGAAGTGGCCAGAAGTCCTACGTCTGCTCCTTTACATCGCTAGTATTATCCAGCTCACCCGGGCAAAGACTTCACCTAGATTTTGGACTGGTCCTGGACCGGTCCTGGGAAAGATGCTCCTGGTTTGTACGGATGCCCACTCTAAGTTACCAGAGATTGTAATCATGAAAGACAAAACCACAGAGGAGCACTGAAAAAAATCGCGCTCTTTAAAGGTTGTAAATTTGATGTAAATATGATGTAAGTGTCCAAAATTCTGTAAATTCGATGTAAATGATTTCCATTAAATTTACAGAATTTTGGACACTTACATCATATTTACATCAAATTTACAACCTTTAAAGCGTGCGATTTTTTCCAGWAGAGACGGTGCCGGAAACACTGCGTTCTATCTTGGCTAGAATGGGCCTTCCTGAACAGATTGTTTCTGATGACAATGGTCCACAGTTCACTTCGAGAAMTTTCGCCCAAGGAGTTTGTTGAAGAAAATTGAATACGACACATCATGGGTGCACCTTACCATCACCTCTACAAATGGTTTGACCGAACGATCTGTCCAGAGTTTCAAACATGCACTGAAGTCCGGCAAGTCTGATCGATCAATACAGCACAAGCTGGAAAGGTTATTGCTCGCATATCGAACAGCACCTCATGCCCGTACAGACGTTACAGGCACCGCGGAGACGGAGGCTAGCCCCCCCTCACAATAATTTAGCCGCCATWTTCAAAACATTTGTCTAATTCATCTGGAGCTTTTCTAAAGCTGTCAAGTCCCGATTGAGCCTCCCCCCCTCCCCAATAAAAATTATACTCCGCGGTGCCTGCGTTACCTCCACTTCTCTTTGGACGGAACAACTTGAGAACAAGAGTGGACCTCCTGATGCCGAATCTTAAGAAGGTGGACGGAAAGMTTCTTTAAAATGAAAGTAAACAGCTTACCGTAGTATTGACGGATCAGAAAGTGTGGATTAGGAACTATCGTTATGGTCCAAAATGGGTGAGTGGAACTGTGATAGAGCCGCAATGTCCACTTCTATACAAAGAAGAAACTTCAAACGCAACCAAACTTGGAAATGTCACATAGAGCAACTGGGAACTCGCATGTCAACCGACTTACCACCTGCTGTGGGAGAACCCGAACAACTGTGGACGAGCTTTTCACTTCCACCAAAACAGATTGCGAATACATTGTTATCTACCTATAAAATGGAAATTATATATACTAAATCAATTTTTTTTCCGCAGTGAGGTTAGAACGTTGTATTCTGCGCATTTCCACAAACATATTAAAATCCCTTTTCTAATAAAACTGTAGGTACCAATTTATAGGCGTGCACCCATTCTAATTCTAATTCAGCATTCAAATATCTATAATTGTGCAGCATTTGAAATCCTTTACGAAAGAAATACCTTATTTTATGTCAATTCTGAGGTAACATAAATTCCGTAGYTTTAATACTGCAAGTACCATATTAAGGGCGTGGTTTTTAACGGATATTTCTTTCACATAGTGTCACTAATCACACTTATTCATTGTGGTGTTTCTTCACAATCGAATGCCATTTTTGATTTTTTGAAA